TAGGAATATTTAGTGTCCCATTTAATTCTGTTTTTAGTAGTAGAGCATAAGGGACTCCATGATAGCACTGAGTTATCTAATATCTAATTATCAAAGTGTACTTATAATTTTTTTTTTCGTTGGTAATTAGACCGGTTTCCGGTTCCCTTCATTTTTGGCCAGGTCATTTCAAGGTCAAATTGTAGTCCGGTCATAAAAATAGTGGTCAAATAACGAAAATTCCGACAGCTAAATTTTGGCGGAGACCTTGGGTACACCATTAGAAATATAGTGTCAAAAGTTCCCATCGATCCCTTGTGTGCTAAAAAGTTATTCGGGGTCAAAGGTCAAAATTTGAGGTTTTTTGGATTTTTTTCGAAAACGGTAAGTTTTATAAAAAAAAAGTAGCTCTGACAAAAATTATAGATCTTAAAATTATCTAGAAAAATGGTCCTTATACTTTTTTTTCTAAGAGTCACCATTCCTGAGATATCGCGATTCTAAAAGTTGAAGGAGTCACGTTCTACATGATATGCACATACAGGGTCGGAAAGTCCCCTTGGTTCAGCAGCCGTTACGTGAGAGCGATAGAGAAAGTCATAGAAATCCATGCGATAGAGAAAGATGGCTATAATGAATGCGTCTAATAGTCACCGCCCACATCGCCCTTCCACAAATAAGATCCACTTCTTATTGGGGACTTTCCGACCCTGTATATGCCACGTACATACATAGTCAGGCACTTAATACAAGTAAAAATGCCTATTTGTGTCACTTATATGTATAAACTATACTATTCTGAGAATATACACTCAAAAGAAACTCAGTCCCTTAGTCAATCGCCTCTAACCGCATGGCCTTAAATAACATCTAGCTACTCTATTGTAAAAACTTTTGTAAAAAATACACGAAACAAGAAACAAGTACAACTATCTTGTCTTCCTCCAACATCAGCTTCTGCTAATCAACACTTGTATCGAGTATACTATCAAGTTCAGACATGGCTAGGCAATCAACTAAACCCTGAAGATTGGGGTTGGAAATTAACAGATAATACTTTGGAATCGATTCAAACTTTACTCCCACCTGCTCCGGAAAAACTCCTAAACACTATTTTTTTGCAATTACAAAAAGGTTGTACTGCTTAAATGTGTCTGTAGAAAAGTAGGGTTACTGTGTTCTCCAGCGTATACTAATTGCCAAAGCCAGTGTTGCTCAAATGTCCAATTGAATACAACAGACTAAGATTCATGTGATTTCGATGAAGAGATAGCTGATTCATCTTCATTTCAACAATTTATGAACATCCAGCAAGAGGAAGAGGAAGAAGAAGAATAATAAGAAATCGAAGAAGACATGACTGTTGAAGTCGACTTTGAAGAGTATGAATCAGATTAAAATATCAAAAGAAATCAGAACTACAGTTAAAGTCAATAACTAATATCAATATCAATAATCATCATGCAGTTAAAAGAGTATTGTCCCTGAAAATTCCGTCATAACAGTTCGTGGAGTAGGCCTACCGGGGAAACAACATTAAAAAAAACGCGCCAAAGTACACTACCTCACAGGTGGTGTGGAAATATGTGCATATCATGTAGAACGTGACTCCTTCAACTATTAGAATCGCGATATCTCAGGAATGGTGATTCTTAGAAAAAAAGTATAAGAACCATTTTTGTAGATAATTTTAAGATCTATAATTTTTGTCAGGACTACTTTTTTGATAAAACTTACCGTTTTCGAAAAAAAAACAAAAAAACTCAAAAATTAACACCTGAGACCCCGAATAACTTTTTTAGCACACATGGGATCGATGGGGACTTTTGACACTTTATTTCTAATAGTGTACCAAAGCCCTCCACCAAAATTTAGCTCTGTCGGAATTTTCGTTAATTGAAATGTCTATTTTGACCGTACTATTGAGAAAAAGTAGAGCAATCAAATCCGACCACCTGTTATACAGGATTTTGTGGTAGTTGGGGAGAATCCGAGGTTAGTTTGTCTATATCAGGTCATTTAAAGGTCGTCTCAAGGTCATTTCAAGGTCAAATTGAAAAAGACCGAGCAATTAAGTCTAACCGCCTGCTAAATTTGGGATAGCTGAGTTCGAATCCGAGGTCAGTTTGTATATATCAGGTCATTTGAGGTTTATTTCAAGGTTATTTAAATATCAAACCAAGAAAAAACGAGAAATCGATTAGCGTTTTTGAGGTCTCTGAGTTTGAATCCAAGGTCCAATTATATGACGATTTAGTCATCCACTACTTGATTTGTGTCGATTAGCTTAATGTAAACCGAAGGTAAAGAGGATTGGTCAAGTTTTAATCATGTGAAATTCTACAACCTTTGTACAGGTCATTTATGTGTCAAATATGTAGTTTTCAATATAAAAGATCTGCTCATTTGCTCCTTCAGATGAACTTGCCCAAATCTTGTGTAGCTCTGTTTAAACTCGAATGATTTTAAAAACCTATTTTCAGTATCAACAATTTTAGTTTCGGTCGAAAGGGGGTCTGAAATCGTCTCTCACAGACTCCACAAGAAGTATTTTTCTCAAATCAACCTTGGAATAACGTCGAACCTTTATAAATACATATAAATGGATCTCGGATTCGGACTCAGCGACTATAAGAACGGTAAATGATTCGAGGGTTAATTCCATAAATTAACTTTCAAATGACCATTGGATGGCCTTCAAATGACCTGACACAGACAAACTGACCTCAGATTTGAACTCAGCAACTCCAAATACGTGTATAACAGGCGGTTAGACTTAATTACTTGGCTTTTTTCAACTTGACCTTGAAATGACCTTGAGACGTCCTTCAAATAACCTGATACAGACAAACTGACCTCGGATTCGAACTCAGTGACCTCAAAATCCTATATAACATGTGCTCGGACTTGATTGATCGGCTTTTCCTCAATTTGACCTTGAAATGACCTTGAAACAATCTTAAAATGGCCTGATACAGAGGAACTATCCTCCGATTCGGACTCAGCGACCCAAAAAACTTAAACTACGAGATCCTTTGATTTAATGCACTTTTTCTAAATTTGACCATTAATTGACCTTGATCCTGACTAGGAAGGAGGGGGAGGTCCCGTTTGGTATGGAATCGATTAGTTCATGGATATAAATAAAAAAAAATAATTTTTTTTGGAAAAAAATGAAGGGGGTGAAAACCGGCCTAACTGACCCTCCCCCTTTGACAAAAATTGTCTTATAATTTTTTATTTAAAATTGGACTACGGCATTGGATTTAACACCCCCTCAATAGAGCCTGTATATTAAATTTCGTTAAGACTCAATGCTAATAGTAAAATTAAATTAATAACTTTGTTTCTAAATGAATTCAAAACAATATACAATCATAATGAATTTTATTATGAACAATGGAAGTTATACATATTATGTTTGTTGTATATTTTGGTCACACAATAAACCCATAAACAAGAGTTTATCTTGATTCGAATGTCTGATGATTATAAATGATTTAAACACGCTTACAAATTCTAATTTCTAATTTGCCTTTTTTAAAATATTAAACTTCTTCCTGTGAATTATACTTAAATCAAGTAAGTATACAAAGAACGTCCAACCAAAGACTTAAGGGATATAATAACTGAGGCTTACGGAATGTTCAAAATAAAATGAAGTTTGGAGAAATATTTTAAAAATTTTAGATTGAGGCAATTTGTATGTGGTTTATGTCATTTGTCTTTTTTTATTATTAGTAATCATAAAAACTAACTTCAATTTTACAATTAGCAATGAATATTTTTTTATATAAATTGGTATAAACCTAATTGAGGGCGTGCAAGATCCAATGGCGTAGTTAAATATTAAATAAAAAAACCGATATCCAGTTTTTGACAAATTTATCTACCAAAAAAAAGTGGACTTTGATAACTGAAAATAAATACAAATATTATGTGAGGTAATAGGTATTTTAATCTCTATATACTTAAAAAAGGAATCAAATCGGACAATAAGTACCTCTTTTACAAGAGGGTTTTAAAGTTTTCATAAAAAATATAATATTTTTAAATATCTTCTGAAAAAATGAAGATATTGAAATGGAATTTTGTGTGCACAATACATGGATGAATGGATATTAATAATGTGCATTTTATGAAATACAGTGAGTAGGTAAGACTACACTTCACATGGCCTTGGTTTTTCAGCTCGGATCCGAATAGTGCAAGGAAATCAGGATCTTGATTTTCTGATGGCTGACATTTCGTTTTTTTTTATTAACCATATTCCACTATTTTAAACACAGGCACGTACTAAACTTATTAATTGAATTGTTAATTACTTAGTAAAAATCAAAATATATTTAAAAAGAAACATAATGTTTCTATGAGAAAACTGTAATGAGTTTAATATTTTTAAAATAAATAATAAAATATTTACCTGAGTATGGTACCATCTCTTGACTTGTTTGGATAGCTTTTGTGGGTTTAGATAAATTCAGAATTATTTAAATAAATGTACAGAGTGAGCTCATAATGGCGTTCCTGTGCTTTAATGCACTTTTTCATGACTGTCATTTTATTAATTATTAATTTATTATTCAAAAGATGTTCAAAAATATATTTTTAAAAAAAGGAACGAAAAAAAGATCCTTCATTTTGTGTATTACATATTGTATTTTGCTTAAATAAAAACTAGTCAATAAATTATTGTGCCAAAGTACAAATTGAAGAATCTTAAGGTACTTAATGTTTCATTTAACATCTGATTAATTTATTTATCTGCAATTCTATAAAATGTTATAGATGTAATTTTTTTAATAATGCTTAATATTAAATGGAATATTGGAAAAGTTGTAAATAAAAATGTCCTTAACTACTTTTGTATTTTAAAATTTCGATGTTTTATTTCTTTACTAGAAAAATAATTCTTAAATTTACAAAATCTTGCAGATTTAATTCTGTAATTATACAAATAACAAAATATGTGTTGTATAAACCATTACCATTAACGTTTGTAGTCCTTTACTAAATCCTCTCATATGTTTTATTATTCTAGCGATAAACTCAATCGCTTTTATAAAAATAAAATATCAACATTAAAAATTTAATCTAATATACTCGTAGACCTAGTAGGTATCATACGGTGGAAAGCCGAAATTCTTGTACAAGAGTCTCCAAAACTCAATGTTGTAGTAGCTCATATCAGTCGTCACTTTCAAACTCTGTCCAATGTCCAAGTAGGTGATGTTTCTGTGCTTAGCGACTGGCCAAATCACATTTTGGAATAGGTCGTCTTTTTCTGGGGTGGGGTTTCTAAAATATTTCGGTAAATAGCATTAGTCAAAATTTGTACAGATTGGCTCAGTTTGCATAACATAACAGTGTTGTTTGTAGACATAAATTAAAGTAACTTTAGAAAAGTTCATTTTGAAGAAAAAAAGTTGAAATAAATACTTCTCTAATTCTATCCATTTTTCATGTAAGTGTTGGGGAATAAGTAATGTCAAATTTAAGATATTTTATTTTTAATTCTACAATTATTGTTAATGGGCTAATCAGAGATGTATTCTCTATTGTTATTTATGACCTCCCAACGTTCAACAAGTTTCTCGATGCCTCTTCTTTAAAAATCCACTGGTTTGGACTCGCAAAACTCATCAAGCGAAGCTCTTAACTCATTGTCATTGTTAAAAAAAACAGCGCAAGGAGTTTGACAAAGAGCGGAGGAGGTGAAAATCAGAAGGAGCAAGTTCGGAAGAGTAAAGCGTATGAGGCAGAACTTCCCAATTCAACTCCCGAATGACCATTTTGGTCATATTGGCGATATGTGGTCGCGTATGTTCATGTTGCAAAAGACCGTGGAGTCGACCTAGTTGTTGGACAAAGTTCTACGTTGACGGTTTGATTGTTTGGTAAGAGTTCGCAATAAACAATTCCTTTCCAATCACACCAGATGCATAACATTGTCTTTCGAGGATGAAGTTCTGATTTTGTTGGTGGAGTTGCTTGTTTTTTCAGGTTTAAGCATTCTTTCCGCTGTTTCAAGTTCACGCAAATATACCATTTTTCATCACCAGTGACAGTACGATGAACAAAACGTATCTTATGACCACATGTTGATCGACGATGACAGAGCAAACCAGCGGCAATTGAAGGGCGTTGATTCTTATTGTTTTAGTTCAAAACATATGGGACGTGGAACTCAGGTGCCGAGTCTTTGAACTTTTCCCATCGAATGCAAATGGTTTACTAATTACTACTGTTTTGTGATCATATCCCCTTTCCTGAGTTTATTTCCTTGTTGACTGTCATTGACTTTCGTGATTCAATTGCTGTTCATCAAATTCAACAGGGCGTCCCAATTGCAATCACCTTCTTTAAAACGCGAAAACCATCGACGGGCCGTTCGTTCATTCATTGCATCATCACAATATACGGCAGTTTGAGCGGCTTTAGCGTTTTCCCCATCTCGATTAAAAACGAAAAAAAGCAAGTGCCGAAAATAATCAATTTTATCAACTCGACTTTCTAATTAAATAACCAAGCAACCAAAAACACAATCTGATAGAGCAATACGTTTACGTTCAATAAGTCCTCTTTCGAGTGGCATGTGTTAATATAAGGAGGTTTATCGGGTACGGAGGTACATCTAAAGTCTAACAAGAGTTTCTGTAGATTCGCTAGTGACTAAAGTAGTAAGCCTTTAGATTTGTCAACGTTGCACTTGGCTGGCTCGCTCGCCTCGGCGTTCGCTCGCTCGCGTTCGATCATTCTGTTTGCTTGGACACCTGCAAATTTCAAATAATACGCTACGTCGAGACCACGGCGTTGCCGCTATCACGCATATGGAGGTTAAGTTAGTCAACGACAGCAGTTTGAAGGAGAATTATTATAAATTATGTATCTCACAAGTACCTAATCGATTTCTACGAGCTATCATACGGTTCCTTAGATATCAGTTTCCTATTTATACAAGTTGCTGTGGAAACTGTTCGTCAATTGTTGCGCATTCTAAGTGGAAAGACCAAAAAAATCTGCATTCTCATAAGACTTCATTCTAAATCGTGAAAAATTATTTTATTAATAACTCGTCTCTTAGGTATCCAAACTAGTCATAATTTTGTTTGAGGATTTTCTTCATACTAATAAGCTTATATTAATTTTTTTATGAATATTTGTTTGTCAATTCCAAATCAGGTAAACCTCCTTAACAAAGCGTATAATTTTCATGTGAATTTTTAAAATTGAAAAAAGAAACAGATATTATTAAAACTGAGAGTTTCAGGAAACTGATATCCAACTATTAATATTTTGAAAACGGTTAAAAGTAAATATAAAAAAGACGTTACACACGAAAAAGACTTACTAAAAGTTTTCTTTAGCGACATCAAGATATGGATATATTTCGCAGAAAAAGTATCAATGTACCACTAAGCGGTGTAAATATGTAAATGTTTTTATTTTGCAATTGACTGACAGTCAGTAGAAATATAAAACTATTCAGAATTAAGTTATCTCCAATCATTTTCGAGAAGTACTCATTTCACAACATACAGGATGTTAAACTTTTGTCAAATATTTTTGCCACATCTCCGTTATGTCAAAATGAGGTAAATATACGGATTTGTGTTGAGTAACATGTAATTTTAAACACTGACTTACTTCAACATTGCAAGGAACCATCTTTTAAGAACTGCTGATTTTCATAGAAGATGTTCGATGTACCCACCATTTGCTTGCACACAAGCTTCAGCGCAACGTATCCAATTCGCTCGCACGCGTTGTAACATTGCCACGTCCTCTCGAATCGTATTACAAGCTTCTGCAATACGATGTCGCAGTTGGTCCATGTCACAAACTTCCGTGGAATACACAACACTTTTCACATATCGCCACAAAAATAAGTCTAAAGGGGTGAGGTCCGGGGACCGGGGAGGGCATCTAACTAGGCTGCCGCGGCCTATCCAGCGATCGGGAAAAATAATGTTTAGAAACTCGCGCACAAAAAAGTGAGCGGGGGCTCCGTCATGCGGTAACCACATATTTTGCCGAACATTTAATGGCACGTCTTCCATTAATTCTTGCAAACGATTTTGCAGATATGAAGCACCGTCTAAGCGTCTAGGCAATTCAAAAGGTCCTATTAATGTGTCATTATCTATAGCGGCCCACATGTTTACTGAAAACTGTTTCGTGTGGATTTTCGATAGTCCAGTGGTGAGTGTTGTGGACGTTACGTAGGTACAGTGGCGTACGCTGCTTTGACCCTTGGGGGGGATATAATAAAAAATATATTAATGAATAAGGTTATTTTATATTAATTTCAAACATTACAAAATAAAATCTATGCATCTTGGCTATCACCTGCATATAAACCTGAGTTCATGGGGGGGATATATCCCCCTTATCCCCCCCCGACCGTACGCCACTGCGTAGGTACACCATTTCGACTGAAACATGCTTCATCTGTAACAAGTATTTGCGCTGCAAATTGAGGATTTCTTGCATGTTCCTAAAGCAACCATTCGCAAAAACCTCGACGTAGTGGAAAATCCTCAGGAGTAATAGCACGATGGGTACAACTGAGCTTCCCGTAATATCCGCCACACAACAGGATGCGAAATATTTATTTGCTGTGCGACATTTCTGGTGCTACGATGCGGATCTTCTTCGACGAGATATAAAATAATCTCCTCAATATTTAAGATTCTTAGTGGTCGCCCTGGGCCACCGTCGCAACCTCGACGCGGTTGTACTTCACCGGTGTCCAAAACTCTTTGTGCTACAGCAACAAATGTTCGCGGTGCGGGAGCATATCGTTCAGGATATCTTGCACTATATACTTGACAAGCTCTATGGGCATTTTCGTTCGCTTCGCCATAAATTATGAGCATATCATAAAATTCGCGATTGCTAAATAAATGCGCCATTTTCGAAAGAAAACTTGCAAATGCGGCTATTTAATGTACTATTGAAAAACAGAACAGCACTCACTACAACAATGTATTACAAACTGACTTTCGAATATAGTCCGGCTTGATAAGAAACCTACAAACTCGTAGAAAGTGTTACATATTTTTTTGTAACTACTCGCCGCGATAAAATACATGTATTTCAGCAGTTCCAAAACAGTTTTAAACACATTTTAATTAGCTTTTTTCTCTATGACCTTAAATTTCCCATACAAGTTTGCGACATAAGTTAACTCAGTTTTTGCTCCTTTTTCAAAGCTTTAAATTTTTGACATAAGTTCATTAATACCCTGTATATCTTATTTTAGTTCCATTTGTAGAAATAAAACTTATTTAGTCCCTTACAGTTTAACGAAGTATCTGCAAGACACAATCATATCGACTTTAATTAACTCTACGATATTAAAGCTTAAATTGAAAGTTTTAAGCTGGTCACGTTGTACATCCCTTAATGACCTAAACGACTTACGATGTCTGTGCAAAGTTTGTCCAAAGTTTGACGAGTCTCTTTCTAGTTATAATATCGGTTTCTGGCGGGTCAGCAATATTATCCTTTTGCTTCCACATATAAGACAGTTCTTCACTATGTCCAACTCCTGCAACACGTAGGAACTAAACTATTGTAACAATAGTTTTCTAACCCTACCTTTATTTTTACGAGGTTGTCCGTTTATACCTGTTACACCCTCATACGAAAATCTGTAGAAATACACAGGGACGTACTTAGAGATTAGGGAAACATATTCGTATATTGGTCTAACGAACTGATCATCAGTCACAAACTAAAAATTAACAAAAAAAAAACTTATAAACTTCAGTTCTTTACCGAGTTATATATTGTGTAACGAATACAGGATGTTATCAAAATTAGATACGAGAGTTGATAGAAATACAGCTCCCAAAAAAAATAGACAATCATAAAAATTACTAGTAAAAACATTCAATAATTGTCTGTCAGAATCCTTACCAAAAGCGAGGAAATACTTTATTCATGAAAATAGTATCGATTTTTGTTGGCGAATTAAAAGTATTATTTTGCATTGCTAATACGCCATATGTTAAAAAATTATTTACAATTATCTACTAATTATAAATGCTGGTATGTAAATTTTCTTACCTGTACAAGTATTGAATAAGAATGCGAATATGGTAATATTAAAATTATAGTCAATATTCAAAATTTTTCCGGTTGTCCTTAACATGGAATCGTGCTCAGCGTATACAAGATGCACTGTGGATTGATAGTAATGGTAGTTCTAATTGACAAATTACGTAACTCGCGTTGAAAGTGGGGTGGAGCACCGTCATGCAGGAACTACATACCAAATTGAAGTAGTACATCCGTCAAAAAGACAGGTAAATCATTTTATAAAAAAATTCGAATAGAGAGTATCAGTTTATCTATCTAATAGAACAAAAGTTTCCATATCATTAACAATACAAGCTCATAACTGAAAATCTGTGTTAGAAGTTCATACTTCGAGCCTCATAAAGATTTTTCATAGACCATATATGGCTGATATGCAAGTTGCGTACTTCACTCCGTGTAAATGTTGCCAACTTACATTTAGTGAAATTATCATTCCCATTATTGTGCTAATAACTATTTAAAAAACAAACTCTGACTGGAAGGCCTCCTGGTTGCAATAGTAGTACACGACAAATGTGAATTCTGCACAACTTTTTTAACTTTACATGTAACAACCGATTGTTTTGTCAAACACATCCGACATGTCTTTCATGGTCTTCTTATAGCTTTCCTTTATCACGAGCTCGCTGAACAAAGAAAATAAATCAGAAATAAATTCAGAACCTGGGATGTAGGATACTGTTTCGCGTATAGCCGAGATGCTTGTCTAGTATTTTGACGACATTCCCCGTCGATTAAAATCATGTCCACGAACTCGATATTATTGTATCTGAATGACATTTTGGTAAAAATGTTTATAACTATTCACTGTAAAGTCAAAAAGTTGAATGAAACAATAAGAATAATGTCCCCGACTGATCGATTATTAATATTAAGAAACGTTGACTGTTAGAGCACAATATCAGCAATTTGACAGTGATTTTACTACGTTCACTTTACACATTCCAATGAAGTAAACAATGATCCGTGAAAGGCATGTTGCTGCAGAACCATTGGTCAAAACATATCGGGAATCTGTTCGATTCATTTCGACCAATTGCTTATTAGGCGCGAATCATCATAATTGTTTACTTTGTTGGAATATATAAAATGGAGTTGGTATAGCTATTTCCGCGCGGTAGTAGGAAGCGCTTTGTATAATTAACTACAAAACTGGCCATAAGATTTTCGTTAATAATCTGCATTTTTTGACTTAAGTTTGACAACATCCTGATTCTGTATTTCTGTAGTATACCTTTGCTACATCTTCGTCTGATAGACTGATAGGTACAACTCCAAAATATCTCTGCCTTATTGAGAGGGCAACAAAGGTTTTTCGAAATATAGACTGTATATTCATGTCGATTGGTACTAGTTTTGAGGAAAATAAATCGTACATGAAGACGTATGGCCTCACGTAGTCGATTACTAAAACAAAAGAAAGGTCAAATTATCCATCGATCCTTAGTAGGTATTTTATTCAAACGTCCATCCATTACTACCCATATTCCATGTACCCGTTACTGCATTCGAGAGAAAAGTTTGTAAATAAGTAAAAACACTAGCACCACAAAAAAAAAGAAAAGTGGGTTGGGCCGTTGGGTCCATAGTATTTTGAACTGCTGAATCCGAATCTAAAGTCAGAATTTCCAGATCCTATCATCAAGAAATTCCTATAAAAAGTAGTTTTCGGGACTTGAACAGTCAGTGATAGGAAGAATAGTGGCATTAACGTTATGTTTTTTTCAGTGCAGATACTATGAGAAAAAACCCGGGTGACTTTATAACACACATCTGTTTGTACAGTCTTTCCGATTTCAGTTGAAGAACCAAAAACTTGACAGTATGTACCAGGCTCGGTCGCTACGCAGCAACTCGGCATTGAAATATTTGAAAAACTTGTTCCCATATTTATTTAGTCATACCCATATACAGGTCTGGTCGAACTAACGTGCAGATGGTAGAAATGTATAGGCCCAGTTGAAGAATGCGCGTGCGGGCAAACGGCGTTAGTTGTCGACAAGTCGCCTGGCAGTGCAGTGCAGCAATGCGGAATTTGGTGTGATTCCGATAATTTTAATTTATCATAGGCACCACTCTATTAATCATTCATATTACAATTGCGAAAGGGAGAAATAAGAGGGATATTTTGTTTATTATTACAACATGGCATTTTGAAACGGAACAAAACGAAATTTACCATCAATATAATAAAATTGATTGAGGACATAAATAATCAAAATACGTTGTTGGCCAAATGAACATATAATACAAATTATCTACACATTATATACAAATTATTATAATTTTTTACCTTTAGCAGAAAACTTTTTTAGGGACGCCTATAAAACTCATAAAATCAAATTTTATTGCCAGGCGTTTTTTACATGTTCAACTAACTTCGGAAAGACTATACCAGATCATGGATCTAAAGGAACTTGATGCCCCGGCCCCGGATCAAGGTATTATGGAGTTACAACAGAACTACGGACCCAAATTCTCCGAGTTTTGTGGTTGTACACCCCTGCATACCTGGAGTTACGGGGTTATGGAAGTAATGCATGTATCCTCAGATTATATGATTATACATCCATGAAGCTACGAGCTTATCGTGCAATGAAATTAAGAAATCGAATTTTTTTTATTGTCTACTCAAGTCAGTGTGAAATCTCGAAAATCGCTTTCGAGAAGAATGTTTTGATAGGATCACAACACGAACTGATCTGGGATTTCTGACTTCATATTTAGATTCAGCGGTCAAAGTATCATGGATATAGCGATCTGGACCACGGTCCAGGCTACTTTTTTTTGTGGCGCTTTGTAATATTTTAAAATTTTGATTAAAATTTAAACCGGAAATATTTGAAGAAAAAATTCTTTGAAGTATGTAACTTTTGAAGGTAACAAAACTATACTAACTTGGTCTGAATCAGATTATCAAAACTTTTACAGTGATCGTATTTTTTGAAAACGGGCAGCAACATTGAAACATTATTTAAAAATATATCGTCTCTTGAGAAAATCGCCTACAGAAAGCCATTCTTGAGAAAAATGGCATTTGCAAGTCTGAGTTTCGATTTGCGTAGCAGTGTCACGGATTTAAAACTTTGAGTTCGGTAGGCGATGCACGTTTACAATTTTGCCGCAGAAGATAATAATTTGCTTCAAAAATTGTTTTATACCGACAAATCTTGTTTTACAAGTTGAGTTGCAAATTTTCATAATTTGCATGTGTGGAGTAATGAGAATCCTAAAGAAACACGACAATAATGACATAACCTGATAGCCACAGCAATCAACATCTTGTTTTCATCGCCTACTGAACTCAAAGTTTTAAATCCGTGACACTGCTACGCAAACCGAAACGTACAGACCTGCAAATAATGTAATTTTTCTCAAGAATGGCTTTCAGTGGGCGATTTTCTCAAAAGACCATATTTTTTTTAAACAAAACGCCTTTTTCAATGTTGCGCCCGTTTTAAAAAAATACGACCACTGTAAAAGTTTTAATAGCTAAAAGGGAGAGGTAACCGGAGAAAACTATCACGCAGTATGTCGATTTGACTAAAGCCTTTAGAAATAATACGCCATACTAGTCCAAATAAATGTGCCAAAAACGCGATCGGTAAAAGGGTTATGAAATTATTAATTAAATTAGTTTTATTTTTGACAACTTGAAGGCTTGTTACACAAAAACAAAAATTTTATTTATTTAACTTTTTTTTCGTAGATCGAATTTAGTTATCGTCGTGAATATGCAGTCAAACGTTGTCGGTGAAATTTACGGACACCCTGTATAAGTATCAGTCAATATCTAATTCTTGATTGTAAATGATCACCAACTTTGGATGCTTCTCATTAATGTCGATTTATTTTAACATAAATTTAAAGAGCTGAAAGAATAGAAAATATTTTTTAAGTATAAATGTATCTTGTTTAGGAAGAACGTCAACTGAAATTTTTTCTATGTTAATATTATTGAAATTTTTCTACATACTAGAAGCAGCTTCTGTTCCTTCCGCCGAATTAAAACCGACCATGCAAGGTATTCTGTTAAAATCTCCATAATTTAACATCTCATGGCTCTTTTTTATAACCACAGCACCGGGTAGGTTTGGTTCTGTCGAAGGACCGAATACTAAGCCATTCCTAGGATTAGATACTATAGTTTCCTAAAATGAATAAATACACTAAAACTGGTACTAATAACGCTGGTACTAATTTCAAATTTATTTGTTTTTAATCTGTCAGATTTCATGTCTCGTAAGACATACAAATATGCTTTCAAGTTCTAAGAATCTTTACAGTATCAATATTGTTCATTCATAAAACAATGGGATTACCTATATACAGGGATGGCCAAAAGTACGGAATAAAATTCATATCTTTTGAATGAGTTAATTTTTTTTAAAACGACGGAACACGTTAACTGATTTTGATTTTTTCCCATCTTTCGGTTATATAATAATTAATTTTTTTTCAACCCCCTAATCCCCAGCTACCCCTACTTTTTTTTTCAAATGGAAACATAAGACATGAGGGGGCTCGTTGAAAAGCTTATAGAAAACCGAATCCAGCCATACCAAATAAACAAGTTTTATTTTTTCAATAGCAAGGTTTTTAGGGTTGTATAAAACACCTACTTAACAAGTGAAATAAAATTTAATTATCTTCAGTGTTATCCTCCATGAATTTGCACAGAATAAAATAAAGAATTTGAAACTGTACCTATCACTGCTAACGCAAAAAANGAACGTGAACAATATGTTTGTCTCGCTTACTCGGGTAACAGCGTTTTGTCGCAGGTTAGTTCTGAGCGGGTAGATATTAATATGGGGGTTCCTCAGGGGTCTATATTGGGCCCTGTCCTTTTCTTACTATATACAAATGAGTTTGACAAAGTTGTTTCTGATGCCTCGTCCGTCATGTATGCAGATGATGCATCATTATTGGTTTCTGGTAACTCAGACGAGGCCTTGCGGCTCAAAACCAATGCTTTACTGAAAGATGTGGGTGCGTGGTACGCTTCTAATGATCTTTTTCTGAACACAAATAAGACTCAAGTAATTAGGTTTCATAACCGACAAAAAAATTGCTGCAATATTAATGTAACTTTTAATGGCTCAGATTTATTGAAATGGGAGATGGATATAAAATTTTTGGGAATAACGATCGATGAATGCTTGACATGGAGGTCTCATTGCACTCAGCTGATATCAAAACTAAATTCCGTCAGCTATCTGATAAGAAGTTTAAAACCTGTGTTAACCTTGTCACAGTTAATAACAGTATACAACGCCCAAGTCAGTTCAAGATTGCGGTACGGAGTTGTCCTCTGGGGAAATTCCACCTTATCACCGGATGTATTTGTTGTCCAGAAACGAATTTTAAGGAATATGGCGGGAATTCCCAGTCATATGTCATGCAGAAATGTTTTTAGAAAGTTTAATATTTTAACTGTTGTGTCGTTGTTTATTTTTGAACTTGCTGTATATGTTTTCAAAAATGTTTCTAACTTTATACTGAACGAAAATATACATAACAGAGACACTCGACAAAATAAAAATTTCCACCTTCCTTTTTTTAAATATAATGTGTCTTTAAATTCACCTTTTTATCTGGGCCTAAAAGTTTATAATAAATTGTGTTTGGATATAAAAAGAGCACAAAGTCTCACAATCTTTAAAAATAGGCTGTACCGATATCTGGTAAACAGTACATTTTATACATTGAATGAATTTTTTTTTTCTAATTAATGTATGTTGAAATTGCAACTATTGTTTAGTATGTAGTAAGTAGGTTAAGGTATCTTGCTGTATGACTATTCCTATACAATGTCTTTTGTCTTTGAGGAAAATAAAGCTTATTATTATTATTATAGAATGCTGTGGACAGCTTTTACAGCATTTGCGACATTGAGTTTATTTTTGTAAATTATCTAGTTGTTTCAATTTCTAAAAGAAAAAAAACTTGTTATTGAAAAAATAAAACTTGTTCATTTGGTATGGCTGGATTCAGTTTTCTATAAGCTTTTCAATTAGCCCCCTCATGCCTTATGTTTCCATTTGAAAAAAAAGTAGAGGTAGCTGGGGGTTAGGGGGTTGAAGAAAAATTAATTATTATATAACCGTAAGATGGGAAAAAATCAAAATCAGTTAACGTGTTTCGGCGTTTTAAAAAAAATTAACTCATTCAAAAGATATGAATTTTATTCCGTACTTTTGGCCATCCCTGTATGTATTTTAAACCTGCATATTTTAGAGAATCGATTTGTGTTTTTCATCACCTTTTCAAAAATATAGAGGTAATACAGTAGTTTATTTAGAACATTGATTTTAAGTAAAATTGGGTAATTTTAAAGAGCAAAGCGAGAGACGTTTTTTGTATATAGAAGCATATATTAAATTTTAAGTTGGTGGGCGTCCCAACTTTACCCTTTTCTGAATTGCTTGTTCGTAGTAATCACTTTGTCTTTTACCTAAAGGATGAAGAGTGAAATACCTGTACATTTAAAGTACATTTATGAATATAAAAAAGTAATCACGATTAAAAGGTGTAATAAATAAAAATGTGTACTAATTTTTTCAGTTCCACTATCAGTTTCATAACTTATGTTAATAATAGATCTCCCTAAAATATTCACAATGTGAATGTGTGAATGTTCAGCAGTTTTAACATGTGAAACATAAATTTTTTCATTACTCACATTTAATTCTTATTGATTCCATCTATTACTAATAATATTACTACTAATATTTCCTCGTTTTATTCGAATTGTTATTAATTCGGATGTTTTACTGAACTTTTGACGCTCAGTAAGAGTTGTATTTTATAGTCTCTGTAGCCTCTAAAGATAAGTGTCATCTTCGATTTTCATTTCCGTACTGTAGTAGCACTCCCCCCGTCTGTTCTTCGCTTGATTCACTACTATATGGACACCATACATTTGAATAATCAGAACTGCATTCTTAGTTCATAGGAAAAACTATTGAATTAACTGATATCATCTATTTATTATTAGATACATTTTACTTATAAATTTGTTCGCAGAGTGAGGTTATTCCAAGGAAGATCCTCGTCTTATGATTAAATTTATTTATTCTATAATACTTTAACTATTGGATTTTATGATGGGTCTTACTAAAATGCCAGATATCGTGCCACATTATAGTTTTAGGTTTTGTATTTTTAAATGAGAACAAAAATATTTACAATTTTTCAACAAAGAAATGTGTTTTTCGGTAAATTAAAAGATATCTCTTAAAAGAGACTCACCAAAAGTAGATTGGATACAGCTGTGGCTTGCAGGGTGCTAGTTTCTATTTTTCTCAAGGCGTTTACTAGAATCGTAGAATTCTTCGTTTCAATGCCAAGGGATTTACCTATGGCGAAAGCGGTAGTTTTTGGATTTCTAGTGAGTGCCCACAAGTTGAGTGATGTGCCGCTTTGCATGATGGCTCTGTGAAAAAGATCTGAACAAAATAGGAAAATATAAAACTTTACGAAATCTTTAATGATTTTCTTATTGTAGGTAACTAAATAAGTACTACTCTGTCTATTTTTGATTGCTGTTTTGTTTAATATTTTTAAATTTTTTCTCTATGTATTTATATATATACTATATAGTGTACTTCATATTTCAAAAATTTACTATGAAAATTTTTTATTTTAGAAAAATAGAAAAAATGTAAGTATTAGGTTTGAATTTATTTCGAATTCCATTTAAATAAAATTAAACATGTCACATTGACAATGGAAAATGTAGATAATAATTCAATTTTTACTAATTTACTTTTGTACTTTGTTAGAATATGTAAAGAAAACTGAGGTTTTTTCCAAAAAATTGCATTTTAAGGGCCCCATATTCTTTAAATAGTGTTTTCCGCAAAGACAAATAATTTCAAACATTTAATAACTGAATAATATAAAGCTTATCAAATAATAGGAATGTTATGTCATGCCATCTGGGTATTTTCAAAGACGCCGCAGTAAAACCAATAAACAGGTGCAAAAAACGATCAAACCATCAAGGTTTTAGGTACTGAAATCTACGAAAATACTAACTTTTTTATATATAATTCTACATATAAATATTCTTATAACATTTACTTGCTTAGTCCTACATATAAAATTGTTTACTTTTATTTATAAGTACGTGAAAATAATTCCTAAAATGTGGGGTTAGAATAACAGCAAACGCATGTTTTACAAACGCTTTTTTTTAGTTATTATTTTATTTGAGTAAATTTAAATGGTAACAATGAATAAACAAAACGTCAAGGATTTGATTTTTGAGCTTACTTTTGTTCTACACGTTTTACTTTTAAATATTTCAGTACCTAAAAACGCCAGAAATTTCACCATTTCTCGGCCGGGAATATGGCCACCTTAAGTACGATCAGGTTAAACAAATTTTTATTTACCTTAAAACCAATAAAAATTGTCATTTATTCCTATTATAGAAGGCGATATTTCTAGTAGATAATTTTTGAGCGTGGGATCATGGCTTTTTTAAGGATTATATCTTGTGAAAAAAATTTGCAAATTTAGAAATGTTGACGTAAGTATTAGTCTAGGCGGTATCTGTTTCGGGTTGGGTAAAACGCATATGATCGGAGATTTTTGCTTTAACGGCTTCTAAATAACATCAGAAATGATAATTTTTCTATGCTAATAAAAAAAACGTGGGCTTTTACATAATAATTGTATAATTTTTTTTTTAAATTAAAAAATTTTCAAAATCAAATTTCTAAAAAAAAGCCTTTGGATACTTGAAAATTTCACCATAAAAAGAAGAGCTCTCAAGCTTTAAAATGGTTTTTGAAAAATTCAAATCGGACGATTAGGTGAGTCGTGGTGAATGTTTAAACATTTTCGCAATTTTCACGCTTATAAGCAATTGCAATAATTTAATGTTTTTTCAAATTATTTTTATTTTAAAATATGGTTTGAAAATACTCGGAAAGACGAGTATTTTAAAAAGAAACCTGATGATCCGCCCATTATTTTCGGAGTACATAATAAACTATAAGAGTATAAGGGCTGTTTTTTGAACTAATAGGTTTGTCATTCCGAGTATTTTCCAGATATAAATTTTCAAAATTTGCAATAACGGGCGTCCCATTTAAAATGTCACTCAAAGATATTCAAGACCGCCTGAAATCAATGAGGTATCAGTGGCGCGGGGAGCAAACACACAATCATCTACTCCGATCTGAATTCTCGAGTTCAAATCAGCTTCTAATGGACCAATTTTGATGATTTTTTTTTAAATCGATGACTCGCAACTTAAAAAATTCAATTATCATATTTTCAACTACCTTTTATTATTAATTATTATTGGACTTTTGACATGCCGATAAACAGTTACTTTAAAATGATTAATTTATTATGTTTATTTATTTACTGTTAATATTCACGACCAAAATTTTTTTGTATGTTGCACCAGGTAATACTAGTAAGTTTGTTTAAATATTATAAAATAATAATAATTAAAATAAATAGTTGTACGATAAATTTCTAAAAATCTTTCAAAAAAATAAATTGTAAATAATTATAATTTTAATTTGTTCGTTTACTTTTAAAATATTTATCTAAAATTTATTTTTTATTTATATAAAAAATTATAAGAATCTTTTGGATACTTAAATAAACAGTACCACACTTTTCATAATTTTTCAAATTTTAAACTATTTATTTCAGATTTTATTTACATTTAATCTAATCTAATTCTTTTACTAGTTGGTGATTTTTCACATGCCATCAGTATTATCACAATCTATTTCGTCGTCGATTTCCTCGTCCTGCAACTGCAAAATATCATTTTCTAACGACTCTGAAATCTGATTGTCGAGTTTACTTGCATTTTCTTCTGACATGTCTTCTTCAAAATCGATTTCGAACTCGTCTACTTCCACTGTTTTGTAAGCATTTTTGCAAGCAAGGGCATTTGCCATTGGCAATGGGTGAAATACTCAGAGCATTTTTGAACTCGAGAATTCAGATCGAAGTAGCTGTGTGTTTGCTTCCCCCATCACTGATACCTCATTGATTTCACGCGGTCTTGAATATATTTGAGTGACATTTTAAATGGGACGCCCGTGATTGCAAATTTTGAAAATTTATATCTGGAAAGTACTCGGAATGACAAACGTATTAGTTCAAAAAACAGCCCTTATACTCTTATAGTTTTGCTGTAAATAAGGGTTAACTTTAACGGGGTTATTGCGAAAATAATGGGCGGATCATCAAGTTTTTTTTTTAAATACTCGTCTTTCCGAGTATTCTCGAACCATATTTTAAAATAAAATAAAATTTGAAAAAAAATAATAAATTATTGCAATTAATTGTTTATAAGCGTGAAAATTGCAAAAATTTTTAAACAATCACCACGGATCACCTAATCGTCCGATTTGAATTTTTCAAAATTCATTTTAAAGCTTGAGAGCTCTTCTTTTTGTGGTGAAATTTTCAAGTATTCAACTGCTTTAGATTTTTAGAAATTTAATTTTTAAATTTTTTCAATTTAAAAAAAAGAAAATTAAACAATTATTATGTAAAAACTATCGAACCGAATTGGATGAAATTTGGTGTGATGATTCTATGCACTAAGTAGTTCAATTGGGAAAAGTATAAAGATCCTAGGTATTAATCAAGTGTCTGAAAAAAATTGACAAATAAACTAGCATTTTTTGCAATTTTTTAAATGATTTTTCCGATTTTTGCTATAACAAAAATGATTATTTTTTCGAATTGCAACTGACTATCTTGTTAAAAATTTAATTATAAAACTTTTTTCCTCTTCCATTTTTGTCTAAAATGAATAGTTGCTAAGTTGTCGACGAGAAATCCAAGAAAAAAATTATTTTTTTTGCTATTTTTTTATACTTTTTTGCAATAACAATTAAACCCACGTTTTTTTTTATTTGCATAGAAAAATTATTATTTCTGATGTTATTTAGAAGCCGTTAAAGCAAAAATCTCCGACCATATGCGTTTTACCCAAGTATACCCTTTTTAAAACAGATACCGCCTGGACTATATGTAGGTATATGAAATGTGAAATACGTAGTTGTTTTACTTTTAAAATGTACAAATTGGCTTTGGTTATCATTATTAAAATAATAAGAAATAAGAATTAATTAAAAAACACAGTTTTTATCACTTCTTCAACGTCCCAGTGTTACTTCAAACCATCTTCAGTTTTTTTTAAAACTATACCAAACCGTTAAATAATTAAAATATAATACATAAAAACAAATTTGGAAATCTATTTCTATATTTTTATTGAGCTGCTAATATCGAAACATTTTCCAATAATAATATTTGCGTTTATTTAAATTAATTCTTATACTCAACATATAGTCTTCTACTAAACTTTTTGACATTCGGCATCACTAGTCTGAAGCAAATTAAATAACATTCTTTTAGAAAATGTGTTTCATCTGTTATTTTTTGAGAAATATTATCAAATGTATTAAAAGTACTGATCTATATTTGATTTGGCTACAAAAAAACTACATATCCAATTGCATTGAAGTACACAATTGCGATAATAATCGTATTATATGTATATGCATTTAAAAAATAATGAACTTTAATCCGGAATCAACTCTGGACCAGTGAATAAAAATAATAAAAAGGCTACCATGAATAATATGAATCAGAAATTACACATAAGGGCTCTCCAGTTCTTTATATTGCTTTCAGTGATGTTGAAGTATCAATATCCACTCAAGGGTTTAGGGGTGCTACAAATTATAAGTACGTATTCTTTGAAGTTTAAATATCTACAGGAATACACCTCACCAATTGCTGTAGAGTAGTGTAATTGTTATATAATATATAAAATAGTTAAGTTACGAAAATTATGGTATTCAAAAGTTATCTTTTTTTAAAAAACTACATATTCCTAAATTTGTGTTATTTTCAGTCCATTGCTGATACATGTTGGGTTGAATAAATCAATAGAATTTCTGAAACGACTCATTTCCCAAAAAAAAAATATTTACGGCTTCATAAAAGTTAAAAAAATAATTAAAATTAAGAACTTATTTTAGTATATATCTTTTATAACTGTGAAATTGATTATGACAGGGCAGGATTAACCTATGGTGAAGCCCGGAACTACAAGCTCTACGCAGGTCCTCTTTGTTAAAAAAAAACGATATTAAAAGGTTTTTGCTTCATTCTAAAAAAGTCACGCAATCAACAAATTGTCGATATAAAATTTCAAAACACTTTTTGATTTGATCTTGCCGAGGCCCCCACATCTCTTGAGGCCCGAGGCTACAGCCCCCGGATCTCCCCTTAAGCCGGCCCTGATTATGATTATTCATGGAATCTTTCCCTTAAAAGCAAGAAATTTCAAAAACTTTCTTTGTGGTCATATGACATTGATAAATGTGAATCAATCAGGTTTTTTAAATTTTTCAGTTACCCATAATAAAACTTGCGATACTGTGAATTCCCAAATCTATAGCGCAAGCGTAATAAAATTAATTTTGTAATCATAATTTAGTATTCGCGAATGCAGCTAAGAGCTCGCCCTCTGGCGGTGACAAGTGATACTAGCGAAACAAGGTAAATATTTATTCTGTGTGTGACATTTCGTTTTGTATTTTATTAAAAACTGAAATTAGTGTTCGTTTTTTGAACACTGTTATTTTAAGAAAATAGTGTGTGGAAAATTTCAGCAATTATGGATAGAAAGAAGAAACTGTCAAACTATTATTGTTCAGTTCAAGGTTGCTCTTCATGGTCCAAGAAAAATCCAGAATTAAGATTTCATCAAACCATTGAAGAAATTTTCAAAATATTATTGCCGATAGATAATACTCCCTGAATTTCATGAGGGTTGTTAGTAAGTAAGGGCACTAGTCTGCAAACAAAATATAAATTTCTAAATTTAAATTAACTTTGCTCAATTTTCCCATATAGTACCACATGATCAGCCTTAAAAACTGCCTCTCCTTCTAATATACAACGAGAGTTTTCGTTAGCATATATGTAAATAGGAAATGTATTCCACAACGGATAAGTTCATAGTTATAACTTAATAAAATGTACATTACATTGTAATGCTAGAGACAAATAAAGTAGACATAAATACTTGCCTTAAAATTTATTTATGAAATATTTGAAACCTATAAA